ACACAAAAAAATGAGCCCTAAACAACTATTTAAAAGTCCCATAACAGTAATTTTGAAAGCCTCCAAACAACAGTCTTAAAGTCCCCAGACAGCACTTTTAAAGCCACCAAACAACTCTTTTAAAGCCACCAAACAACGCTTTTTAAAGGTTCCAAACAACAATTTTTTGAAGCTACCAAACAACACTTTTAAAACCACCAAACAACACTTTTAACACTCAAACAACCATTTTAAATAAACCCAAATAACACTATTTAATAGCCCCAAACAACACTTTTAAATAGCCCCCCAAAAACAGTAAATGAATCAATACCCAAGTGGCATATAAAGCCTAAAAAATCAACAATTTATTGTGTCCAAAACGGTGAAAAAGTTGGAACAAAATAGTAAGAAGGACAAGCTAGAACGACATCCCAACCCTTCTTAGAACGATAATAATACTGAGCAACCGGCCAAGAAAAATTGAATGAAGATTTGCATGCATACCCTACAATTCCTATGTATTAACATATCTCAGAGCTAGACTTTAATTCTTATATTTATACCACCCAAATCTTTCATATCACATAAGAAATCTTTCATATCACATAAACACATGATTAGTTTCACTTACACCTTTTCATGCATGAGTAAAGTAGTACATATGTACAAATTGAGGTTTAAGTATTAGATATGCAAACAAATGAAGATTGGGTGGTATGTATGTAAATCTTGACGTTTGGGTGTTAGATATGTAAATGCATATGAATTGTGTGATATGTATATAAATCTGAAGTTTGGGTGTTGGATATGTAACTATATATGAAGTTGGTGGTATGTATGTAATTCTTCCAAAAAGTTAACAGTATAACAGTACTCCAACCAAATTCTTCATATCATATAGAAATACCACTATTCGTATTTCAAACAGAAAGTTAACTTCTTCGTCGTAATTTCGCTGTAACAAAAAGTTTGACTATTGTAGATGCAATTTTATGCTAACCTTTTCTCAAAATGTTGAGCAGAAAATCACTTTGGAATGCAAAATAAATCTTAAACGCTTTACTAAGGCTTGATCTGCAAAAGCTGAATCTAGACTGTTAAAAAAGAATCTTGCGGGTTCTGGAAAAATTATTGTTCTCAAAATTTAATTCAAAAATCAATGGAGCACAAGAGGGATGGGAGGACACAATGCTCATAATGGAAAATATGGGATTGTTATGTTGTAGATAAGAAATCTCTCAAGCACCATAAAAAAAATCTTGCACAAGCATTTTAGAATAGTTACCAAGGTTAATAAAATCGATTAACAGTGCTGGGAGGAACAAAAGAAGCGAGCAAACAATTGAACCAGTTTTGAGGTGGCTGGAAATGCAAAGCAGCCTTGTATTGTTTGCTTGAGATGGAGAAGGGGCCTTCAGAATCTTGCTGCTTGGACAACAGAAAGAGGAAGAAGCTCCGCTCATGGCTCAAAAGATCAGGGAAGAAGAACAAAAATCGGGGGCTTCGCTTGTGTGAGGAAGCTGAACGTTGAGGCTTTGATCGATAGTTGTTAGGGTTTGCAAATGGGAGAATTGTGGCTCAAAAGATCAGAGAAGAAGAACAAAAATCGGGGGCTTCGCATGTGTGAGGAAGCCGAACGTTGAGGCTTCGATCGATAGTTGTTAGGGTTTGCAAATGGGAGAATTGAGAGAGGGGCTCTAGGGCTTGTGGGGAGTAGAGAGGGAAATGTTGCGCCTTGGTACGGGAGTCGAGTGAGGCGGGAGGCGAGCGTGAGAGGGAGGTGAGGGCGTTGGTGCAGAGGGGAGACGAGCGTGATCTGGTCATGAGGAAGGGAGAGGCCTAATGCCAGGAAGGTGAAGCCTGTCAAATTGTATAGCCGTAATATTCAAAATGGACGTTATGCGAAATTAGGCGGGGAATTAAACGGATTCCATTCATGCAGCTGGCTCAATTGGAAAATCATAGCTTCTAATTACATTCAATTAAGATGAGATTAAATGACTCATTTGAAATTTGAAAATTTGAAATTCGAAACTATTTAGCTTGCTTTCAGCCCATGTCTAGCCCGAATTGAACCTGGGTTGAACCTGAACCCGCGTCCTTCCAAGCTAAAGTCGACGTTTCGGATGCGTCCACGTTATCCGTTTCGTCATCCGAGGTCTTCCGGACAAGTTCGTCGACGGTCGGACAAAAATATGTCAAATTTGTTTTTTTTGAATTTTAGCTTGCGACGCATCATTTTGAAAATTGATTTTGGTTTAATCAATGTTGTGATGTGTGTGATTGTCAGTGATGTGAATTGCTACGTTTATGCGTGTTGACTGTGTGAATTGTGGTGTTTGTGCGTGGTGGAAGTGTAAATGTATATGTGTGTAGTGTGTTGCATGTGAATGTGCATGAAAGCAAAAAGGGGTTTTCCTAAGGCTTCCTGATCCTACGGGAACTCTTTTTTTGGCCCTCCACATGTTGGTCCTTAGCCCTTGCAACTAAGAGTTAAGTGCTTGGTACCACTTACGTGAGGTTTTCACAAAAATGAGTCAAGAATGCTTTGAAGTTCTACGTGGTGTGGGTCTCAATACTAATCATTTAGGAGGGTCAAACAGAGAGAACCTAAGGCTAGATCCTAGGCTCTAAGGAGGGGAAAAAAAGACTTAAAAAATGAGGTCAACACCAATTTAAGGAAGTTCTTGTGAAATCAGTTTGTAGGGGACGAGAGCTGCAGTCGTGGCTTCTTTTATGGGTTATATGGATTGTATGAATAAAATAATATAAACTTTAACAAATATTAATTTCTTAGAAATTCATATAAGAATTTCTTGAATTTCATTGTGACTATTCAAAATTTATTAATATAGTAAAGGAAAAAGCCTTTACCCTATTAAAATTTAGTTATTTATGAAACTACTAGTTAAATTGCACCTGCTTATAGTGCACATTATTGTATCTAAATGTATGATTACATAAGTATAAATGATTAGTTGAGAACAATTTAAAGTTCCAAGATTCACCATATGGTGAAATAAGTGCAAAGATCTGCACCATTAGACATGCCCACGCACGCGCACTTTCTCATGCATACACACGCACACACAATTTGTTAGTACATAATGATAACAGTTTTTGTTTGTTTTAAGCTCTTTTGTTCTATTGAGATGCACTACAGGTCAGCTGTCACTGTTTGGTGTTTTATCATTGGGACATTTACATACATACCGCCCACTTCCTATATATTTACATATTTAACACCTAAATTTTGATTTTTACATTCATACCAACCAAATATTTCATATTATATAAAAAATACCACCATTTTAACTTTTAAAAGTTGAATACTCATTTTCATGCATAGGCTAGGTGGCATGGTATGTATGTAAAAATTGAAGTTTAAGTGTTAAATATGTAAATACATGTTCCTTTATTGTTTATTTTAGTCTATATATTATGAACTTGTTCCTTTATTGTTTATTTTAGTCTATATATTATGAACTTCATAATTTGAAGCTGTAATGCAGGCCTGGATTGAACAAATGCTACATTAGTGAAGATGAAACGACCAAAGCTTTCCATCAATTTTATCCGGTTCCTGCTCCTTATTTGACTATTCATCCTGATGCTGCTGTCTCAGGCATAGCTTCAGATGACATTTTAAATCAGAATCAAAGGCTAGACAATAATGCTTGCAGTATTCCTTCCGGTGTAAAGACAAAGAATGGATTGCTGGATGCATCGAACTTGCCCAATAGTTCATCTTTAAGTTGCTCGACAAGTTCTGGGAAAAAATTGAAAGCATCTTCTGATAACAGAGCCTTAAATGATGTGGTACGCAATTCTCTGGATAAGGACTCATCCTTGAAACATGGAATACGACAGACAAGCAGATCAGCTGAGCTCTTCATGGAAAAGCAAAATCATAAAGTTGAAGAGAAACCTTTTAAAATTCCGGCATCTTGTCCAAATGAAGGTTATTTTTAGGAAGATTTATATACATACCATTCAATTCCTATGTATTTATACATGTAATACCTAGACTTCAATTTTTAGATACATATCACCTTATGTATGCATGAAAGGTATATTTCACTTTTTAAAATTTAAAACCAGTATTTTTGATGTTATATTAAAGTTTTGGTTTCTATAAATGGAATAAGTAAAGTTTAGATGTTAGATATGCAAATACATAAGAATTAGGTGGTATGTACGTAAATGCCCCTTGTTATTATTGTTTTCATTAATTCCTGTTCATTTTAATTGATCTTCCCGCATGTCTTTCATTTTTTGCTGTTATGGTCTTTTTATATATGTGAATATTTTGCAGGTGATTTATTTGGAAAAGGTTGTAAAAACTCGAAGGTAAAGAGCAGGAAACAAGTTGATCTTGGTCATAGATCGTCTAAGAAAATTAAGAGGGATGCCTTACACTATTCTGAAAAAAATGTGCATGCTAAAGAGGAAAGTGCAGGCAAAATGGCTATCAATGGAGATTATGGCTTGCCGCCTAGAGCTTCTAGAAAGGTTTTGCAAAATGACTCTGATCATTTTTCTTCTGAGGATTTCAACTCTAAGTTTGCACCTTCTAAAAGTCCAAAGAAATCCATTGGAGCCTTGTCCTATGGTGAGCACAAAGAACATTTTACTGCTTCAAGAACAGAAAAAAATTGTAAATATGATTCTAATGACGAAAAGCGGGGAATAAAGGAAAACTCAATGGTCAGTCAACAGCTTGTGGAAAATAGGCCCATGATCAAAGATTCCTCCGGTGAAAGTGAACAGAGAAGGCAAAAAAAAGGTAAGTTAGCAAATTCTATGGGACAAGATTTCAGTGCTGTTATTGTAGATGGGAAAATGGGCAAAAAAGGCTCATTCACAAAAATCAAATTGCCTAGTTGTGAGAAATATCAGCCCGACAAGGTTGTTGAAGCCACCATAGATGCTTTTGAATGTGTGGATGGCATGAATAAGGATCTGACCAATGTGCAGCTTGCCACGACGGCTCTTCCAAGCTCTTCCAAGCTATTAGGATCTCATAGAAGTAAAGTAAATTTACATGAAGCAAGGGAATCGCCAGTAGAATCTGTTTCATCATCACCAATAAGACTATTAAACACTAAGAATAATTCTAAGAAAGTAAGATTGTCAACGAAGGATGATATCTTAAGTACAGGTCCTTCAATGAAGTGCAGCCCAAAAAATAATTTTTTGGGTGATGTCGATGCTATTGATCAAACAGGGACAATGACTAAGGATCAAGCATCTAAGTCCCATCTGATAATTTCAAAAAATTCTAAAGCCGCAAAGCCTAAGGCATCTTCAAACCACTTGAGTCAAATAGTGGATAGATCAGAAGGGCGTTCAGGAAAAATGGCTCAAACATGCCATACTGTTACGGGTCAACATGAAAAAAGTGGCTGGGGCACCCAAACCGTTCATAGGTCCATGAAGGAAGGAAATTCAGAGCAATACCATGCTGATGCTGTAAATAGCGGGGCATCAAATTCAACCAAAAATTTAAGAAAGTCTGATTGCTTGGATGAAATACATTCAAAAAATTTGTCTCAACCATCCCCTACTGTGCCCGAGTTTACTCCGACGAAAAGGGATGGGCATATTAATATAAATGCATTTATACAAGAAGCTAGGGATTTGAAGCATACTGCTAGCCGCTTAAAGGTCAATATAGTCCTTAACTGTCAATGAATTTTTGTTCCTGTCACATTTGATGGCTTTATATATCTTGGATGTGGTATACAAGATAATGAGAATATAAATGAGGATATAGCTTTTAAAGTTAATATTGAGTAATTAAAATGTAGAAATGTCTTATATATACTATGTGATGAGAGAATATCAAGATATTTATAGGTAATTTTTATAAAACTGATTCTAAGCTATTTGTTATATGTAAATGTGTATAGGGTAATAAAAAAGTCATTGATAACGACATTGAAATAAATGAAAATGTTAATATGAATGTGTTGAGAAAATAGCAAGGATGGATAAGTAAATGGTTATATGTAAATGGCTATATGAGAGGGACTACAAAAGTATCATCCATTGAAGTTAAGATAACGGAAGTAAACTTATGTGGCTTGGGCTTATACAAATACCTCAAACTAATGTGAGAGTTTGTGTAGAAAGATTTATGACTTATGTGGCTTGGGCTTATACATTGGAGGTTAAAGACACACTACTAAGACAAATAAATAGAATTAATGTGGAAGATGGTAGATCAAACTAATGTGAGAGTTTGTGTAGAAAGATTTA